ATCCGCCGCTACACTGAGCTGGCACGGGGCAGATAGATACAATTGTGTATCATTTGCAAATTGATGGTATTTTATCCCGTGCCGTCGTATGATCTCACCCAGCGGTTTCATGTAGATGTTAAATAGGAGGGGGGGACAGGACCGAAATCAAGATCTGTCAGTCTTCCTCCCTGCCATACCAAAAATTACAGTACAAAAAATATATACTGTGTTTCCCCCCAAATAAAACAGGATCTTATTTTCTTTTGACCCCCAAAATAAGCACTTGGCCTTATTTTTGAGAAGGTCTAATTATTTTTGAGGTGCAGGGGGCGGTGAGTGTGGTCACCTCATGGCTCCTGCTGTGTTGCAATATTTTCAGGGCTTATTTTCAGGGGAGGTCTTATTTTCAGGAAAACAGGGTATGTAAAAAATAAAACAACTTGTTACCAAAACAAAAGATTGTGAGTCTGTCTTTGCTCAATCTCTCAAACGGCAAGCTCTGTGTGGAAGGTCTTCAGAAGCTCCCAAGGCATCCAGAAGTCCCTTTCTCTGACAAGGTGGGTTTCATGGTGCATGATGACTTGCAATCTCTAGGAGCATCGCGGGTGATTTCCTCAACAAATATTGAAGCAATAAATACGAAAGACACCCATTCCTCCTTCAGCTTTTGTAAATGAAGACAAGGGCCTAAGGCAGCTTTGTTCCCAGAACGTTACATCTTGAAGTCATTACAATCGGGCTCTGTGGGACCTGCTGTTTTTTATTATTATTTTTATTATGGGAAGAAATCCTGATCAAGCAGAACTCTGTTGCTTTTATAGACAGTTCTGATTCAGCAACTTTGGAGGATTGTTTGATCCCATGCTCTATGAGGAAAGAAATTTCATTCCCAGATCCTGAAAAACCTTACCTAGCTGTTTTTTTGCTAGGAAAAAAAACTGTTGACCTGGGCTACGCCTTGGGTACTCTGTTTTGGTTTAATGGCATGGAACTTGAGGAACAGATTGCAATAACTACCAATCCTGGTCTCTGAAACTACACAACAGATGCAAAAAAGTGTTGACCTAATAATAAGTTTGTTGGGGCTGTTGGAAGAAATGTCCTTCTGGGTTCAGTTCCAAGTGGGGNCCTTTCCTTTCCCTTCTTTTCCATTCCATTCCCTTCCATTTAGATGGAATTAAAAAAATGGACAGGGAACCAGTGATTAACAAACATGATCTGAGGCTAGATTGCTGACTTGCTGGGAGTAAGAAATAGGATAAATAAAATACAATGTATTTCTTTAAAATAAATAAATCTAAAGGGGACCTTTCTGAAACGAAGGGCTGCCCTTTATAATAAAGGATGGCTGGCCAATCTAGGAATCTAGCCTGGCGGAAGTGAAGGACCTCCTCTGACCATCTCTATTTCCTCTTTCTGCTCCTTCTTAGATAGCCCATTCTAAGATCCAAGGCGTGGAGGCCAACTTGGAAGAGGCCCTGAGGAGGGAGACCCAGATGATGATTTTAATCCAGTCCCTGGAAGAGGAAAAGGTTCTATACCAGAAGACCTTGGAGAAGATCTGCAGCTACCTGCCCCAAGAGGCCCTGTCTGACTGTGAAGAGCTGCTGAAAGAAGTCAACTGTCATCCAAACAAATTCTAGAAGGAAGCCATAAATGAGGGAGAGGACGCAATGGGGAAAAAAGAGAGAGAGAGAGAGAGAATATGGTTTCTCATAGATGGAAACAAAGAAACAGGCCAGGCCACTGCTGGAAGGGAGATCCACCTCATCTCACAAGATTCTACAAGTAGCAGCCGCAGTAGCGAAAAGGCCTTTTTTTCAACCTCAATATGCAAATCCCAAGTTCATGTCTTCTTCTTTTTTTATATAACGCATGTACATAATTTGCAGTGCACAGAACAAAAGACGGGATCGAATGAAGAAGGTCAGGTGTACATTTAGGGCTGATCGAAACGGGGAAAACCGGTGGAATTTGAGACTGCTTGTAACTTAAACATGGGAGACTCTACCTTCCCACAGCCAAGGAAGGCAACGGGGTCTTTTCTACACACTGATCAACACTTGAAAAACTAAAAATAAAAAGCAAGAATGTATTTACACCTCCAAAAAGCAGCACAGGTCCCAGCTGAGGGGTGGGCTGAGGGGTGGGATGGGGGGTGCTGTGCATGTCTGCTACATGTTGGGGGTCCATTTCTAAAGTTCCTCAGGGAACTTTATCTCTGGTCCTTCCTTTGCGCTGGGAACAGTTGTGCTCCAGCGGACACACAACTGGCCTCTCCTCCTGTCCCCTTCAGGGAGAGCTAGTGATGAAAAGTTGATGAAAAGTCACCCATTCCCTATCCTGAAAAGCAAAGAAGACCTATCAGGGACCCCCTTTCACTCCCCCTTCCTTGTGAGACAGAGAACGAAAACAATGAGTGTTTAAGGTGTGGCTGGGGCGGGAGTGTGTCAGAACGCAGGTAGGACTTTCCAAGCAAGCTCCTCTCCTGGGGAAAGTTGCCTGAAATGCTTGGGATCAACTCCTTTCCTATGACTTGCAGGAATTCGTTGGGTTGAGTGTTATCTTAGCCCCTTGTAGATTCTTCATGCTCTTGAGATTTAGTTGTGCCACGGTCCGCCCTGTCACTTCAGCAATGGCTCAGAGATGCTATGGAGCACTACAAGTCCTGAGAGGCTTAAATAGGATAGATGGGATGTCCTTCAGCTGAATGCCAAATCCTGAAGCCCGATTCCACTTGGCCAAGGAGAAATCCTTGTAAGATCTTCCTACTTCCTCAATTCTCTAGCTTTTTTCCTCTTCAAAAGTTAGTATTTCTTCCACAGGGAAGATCCCATAAACCTTCAACGTTGCACCTGCAACGGAAGAACAAATAGGTGGTCACCGAATTTAACGCCAAGGGGAGTGGCTACCCCTATGTGGTAGTTTGTACATTTCAGCATAACATGTCTGTATCCTCCTCTTCTTTTTTTAAGAAGCATTAAGAAGCAGAGATTCGGCTTCTTGAAAATCTAGCAATTTCTGGATGGCGTTGATTGTTTTTATTATTCTTATTATCATCAACATCATTTTTTGCTGCTGTGCCTATTTCTTAAGTACGTTTTTCTGGGATTTTTTTTTTTTGGGGGGGGAAGCTATTTCTGCCATGCAGACCAGGCACTCAAATTAACGTTTGATCTATCAAAAGGATGAAAATAGCAATCAGCCAACACAAGAAATATATTTTGGAACGTGTTGTGTCGTTTCCCCGCCCCCACACATTGGGAACGACTTGTCGTGTTTCTCCAGCTGCTTTCTCTAAAATTGTGCCAAATTCAGCCAAGTGTCTTCCTTGTCCAAGAAACAGGTGTGGGTGACAGTGCTTCCATTGCCACATGCCTTGCGTTATGCAAAGAACAAGCAAAACCAAGGAGAACACAGTCGGCATTCTCCTCCTCCTGCTGCTGCGTAAGTCCAACCCGCCTCCCCCCCCTTTTTTAAAAAAAATCCTGATCATATAATTTCTTAGTTTTCCTGGGCAACGTCCCAAAGGAAAAGCCAAAATGCATGACAGGACACTGCCCTAATTTCAGCTTTTTGCACGGGAGATTTCCCAAAAAATTGTGTGTCTGGCGTTATTTTCTCGCTGCTTCTTATCAAATCAACAGAATCGCACCAAAACCGGCAGAGTTGCAGAAACATCACACTTTCGGAAGCAAAAAAAGTGCTGTTTCTTTGCAATTTCATTGGGCGGGGCGCACCTTGTGCCTGGAGAAGCAGCCCCCGAGAATTGGATGCCGGTGGTCTTGCGTTATGACAGCACACGAGACTTTTTATTTTTTTTAAAAAATCACAACATTTCACGCTATGTTGGTTTCACTGACTTGTTCATGTTGTCACATGGAAGATTTCCAATAAATTGCCATTGCTGCATCTGCTCGTATTGTTTTCATTTGCCGTCGGAATATTTCTATGGGTGGTTGCACAAGGAGGTGTTTTGGGGGGTTCCTTTCTTGTAACTGTAGCCTTAACCCTTGCAAGGACTGCTGGAGTTTTCATTGTTTCCTCTGCTTGCCTCCTTTCACTCAACTCCCCTCAGGCTTGGCCCACTGAAGCCTTACTATCCTATACTCTTCTCTCCCTCAAGCTTGGCCCACCGATGCCTCTGCTATCCTATTTCCTTATCTCCCTCAGGCTTGGCCCACAGAAGCCTCTACTTTCCTATACTCTTCTCTCCCTCAGGCTTGGCCCAATGAAGNGGCCCATTGACAAAGGTGGAGGCTATTAAGAGTGAGTCTGTTTCCTGCCTAAAAACATGTTTCTCCATTTCTTATCCAGGGAAATATAATATTCTGCCTTTTCAGGATATTTCCCAGGATATTTCATTTTTCTAGGAGAGGGGTGGGTTTTAACTTCCTGCAGGGCAAAGCTTGACAGCGAAGGAGGCTGTCCTTCTTCTCTCCAGCCTGCTTGACACAATTCAACCACCAAATTCTACTCACCTGCCATGGGCCGCAGAGGTCACCTGGAGTAGTACCATTTTGGTTTTTGATAGCTTTCATAGGAAATTCATCTGGAATATCTCAGTGTTGAACAACACTGGGGCAAAGGAGATAGATGTTGGTTGGTTGGTCCATTCCTTGAGGTGGTTCCATTCCATTGAACATCCACTGGCATCTTTGTCCCCCCCTTTATATGGCTGATCTGCCAGGATGCTCTTAGAAGCCAGAGGTTCTCTGGAGTCATTTTTAGTTTGCTGATTGTGGACAATCTGGTCAGGAGGAAAGTTCTTTTGATGACCCTCCTCTTCTTGAAACAAGGATGACCAATAAGCCTTGCCTTACATTTCTTGTCTCAAGCCTGGCTTGATCTAGGTGGGTGATGGATGCAAGATCTGGTCTATATAGGACAGTGGATGGTCTCCTGCTTCTCTTCATCACTGAAGGTTGGCCACTAGAGGGCCCAGCTGCTTGGGCAAGTCCCAGAGAAATTGCTTCAATGTTTGCCATTAGCTGGACTTCCTGAGAGGTAACAGCTTGTATTTAGCCTACGGGTTAATCAGGTCTCTAGATTCACAGCTGTTTCACACACGGTTTTTTCCCTCTCTCTGTCTCAATAGTCAAGAAGATGATAGAATAACCCAGTTGGAAGAATCTTTCCCCCCTTCCTCCTCCCTCTCCCCTTCCTCCCCCTCTCTCCCTTCCTTTCCCCTCTCTCCCCGTCTTTCCATATCCCTTTCCTGTATCTTTTTTGTTGTTTTATTCCTCTTAGGGATTTTATAGGATGGGATGCAGTGGTGGGTTCCTCTCCTCATTGCTACCGGTACGGTGCTCATGGGGCCATGTGTCTTTTTGTGCACATGCGCTGCGCACACTTGTGCACTCCACCGCCCCGTGCGACATCCAGCTGCTTGTCGGAGCTCACGCAGGTGCCGCAAGCTTTGTGCGCGTGCACAATTGGCCAGTTGCTTTGAAAACCAGTATAGAATGCGGGCGGGCATATGAGCCAAACAAGCCACCGTACTTGCTCCCGGCTACTACAGGTATGCCCATATCAGGCCGTACCGGCTGGAACCCACCACTGATGGGATGGGCTTGGGATGGGAATAGTGGGGAGGAGAGAAGAGGAGGGGAGGGGAGGGGAGAGGAGAGGGGACAGAAGAGGGGAGGAGAGAAGAGAAAATGAGAACGGGAGGGGAGAAGGGGAGAGGTGGAGATGAGAGGAGCTTTATTGTCCCTTTTTATTGCAGGCACACTGGCACATATTAAATATATACCTATATACCTACCTACCTACCTACCTACCTACCTACCTACCTACACACATACACACACAGACACACACACACACAGACACACACACACACACACACACACACACACACACACACAAACTTACTTCTCCCTGTTTTTGCTTGTCCAGTATCAGTTATCCTCAGCAGTCTTTCAATTTCTTGCTCAGAATTTCTCAGCATCACAGTGTTGGCAGGAGCCCCGTAATATCCATGTTAGGTAACTGAGCGAAGACAAGAAATGCAATTTCTGAAGCCAATTTTCAGTCATTTGCAGGCGTGACCCGATCGGCCCTCCAGTTGCTGTGATTTATTCCACCTTCTACAATTTCCCCTAGGATAACTTTGTGTTTCTTCTCTTCTGGATTGCTTTGGTTGTCTTGTTTGGACTGGGGAGAGTGCATTTTCTGCCTGATGTATCTACAGAGGGAGCCAATGCAGCACAGAGGTTGGTTCTAAACCCGAGAAAACCCCGGGTTACATCCCCACACAACCAAATTTCCCAGCCCACTTTCAGCTCAACTGCCTCAGAGCGAGGATGGTTGAGATGATATAAGGAAAGATGGCCCTGCATTTTGACTTAGGTAAAGGTTACTCCACATATACATGCTAGTTGTTTCCAACTCTAAGAGGTGGTGCTCATCTCTATTTCAAAGCCAAAGAGCCAGCATTGTCTGAAGACGTCTCTGTGGTCATGTGACAGGCGTGACTAAATGCCGAAGGGGCACAGAATGCTGTTACCTTCCCACCAAAGGTAGTTCCTATTTTTCTACTTGCATTTTTACGTGCTTTCGAACTGCTACGTTCGCAGAAGCTGGGACAAGTAACAAGAAATCACTCCATTACGCGATGCTAGGGATTTGAACTGCCGACCTTCTGATCAACAAGCTCAGCATCTTAGCCACAGAGTCACCTCATCCCTTGCATGTTGACTTAGAAGTAAGTCAATAAGAGCACTTATTGACAAGTATGGGGACATCAACAGGGCTGGGAGGGCCTGGTGGAAACTGCCTTCCAGGTCCAGTAGAGGAGCACAACTATTCCTCCATTGATCTTCTGGCCATCAGCCTCCTCCCTCCACCTGCTGGGGAACAGACCCAGGGAAGATCATTCTGAAGAGGGGGGATTTCCTGGTTGAGCCTTTAAGATGCTTTCTGATCTTCTGAATACAGCAGGAGGGCCCTTGTGAAAGCAGTCAGCCAAGACAGTCCTGAGAAGGAGGCCGTCCTTTGGACAAAGGAGAAAAGGTCATTGACCTCCTCAGAGGCCAACTGGCCCAGCTGCAGGGGGTGTCCCTAGACAGCCTCCCTTTGTTATGACACATGGGAACCCAACCTTAAAAGGAGGTGGCAAAAATCAGGATTTGCACTTCCACTGTTGTGCAATCCAGGAGAAGTGTGAGCCTTGCCACCTGCAATTTTGTATTTTCTTGTGCTCAGCTAGCCTTCACTGGCTGAGAAGACTGTAAGGAAACAATTATGCCGGCTAGTAGATTGAAGGCGTACTTTTGCTTCAGAGTCTCTTTCTAATTCACTAGACTTGAAATTTGGGGCTTAGACAACTTAGAACTACGCCGCCTTTGATCTAACCTGAGCATAGTACATAAAATTATCCGCTACAATGTCCCACCTGTCAATTACTACTTCAGCTTTAACCACAACAACACATGAGCACACAATAGATACAAACTTAAGGTAAGCCATACTAAACTCGATTGCAGAAAATATGACTTCAGCAACAGAGTGGTCAATGCCTGAAATGCGTTACCCGACTCTGTGGTTTTGTCATTGTTTTGCTTAGTCCTCAGCTCCGTCTCACATTTCAGAATCGAGTCAACCATAAAAGTTTAGGCAGCTCTTTACTGAATCCTTCTTTTGGTCAGTGTCAGCTCTACAAAGAGAGTTATAGTGGGCTGTACACAGGCTGTCAAGCAGCAGCTTCCTTCAAAATATTATTGATGGCAATGGAGATTGAATTGATCTTTCCTGAAAACACAGCTTGTAACATGGGGAGAGGTCTGCTCACAAGCCTCATATAGACTGGTTCCCCCCCTTTCACAAGGTCTTCTGGGCTGCTGTAATTCCTGGTCGAAATACCACTCTGCCCAGGGGTGAAATCCAGCAGGTTCTGACAGGTTCTGGAGAACCGGTAGTGAAAGTTTTGAGTAGTTCGGAGAACCGGCAAATGCCACCTCTGGCTGGCCCCATAGTGGGGAGGGAATGGAGATTTTGCAATATCCTTAACCTTCGAGTGGGGAGGGAATGGGGATTTTGCAATATCCTTACCCTTCGAGTGGGGAGGGAATGGAGTTTTTGCAATATCCTTACCCTTCAAGTGGGGAGGGAATAGAGATTTTGCAATATCCTTACCCTTCGAGTGGGGAGGGAATGGAACGTGGGTGTACCGAGGTGCACCCACAATCGCTCGC